AAGGTCACCTTCTGGGTTTAATCCTATCTAGGCCAGTTAACTATTACCCAGAGATAAACTCTGTCCCACAGACTGATTCTTAGACTAGCTGTTTTTATGAGCTTCTAAAGAAGGTTTTCATTCACTCATGCAATTAGCAAAGAATGCTAAGTCAAAGATAAATATGTAACCGCTGACTAAACTATAAGAGACTTAAGTGCTAAGATTGTGTCTTGGTCATATTATATCTCCAGAGCCTAATACTGTGCCTGGTATATATTAAGCCCTCAGTAAGTTTATCTATTCATTCAACAAGTATTTGTTTAGAGTCATCATGTGCCAAGTACTAGAAGTACAGCGGTAAACAAGACAGACAATTTCTTACACTTGTGAAACATACATTCTTGTGGAGACGTAGGTAATGAAAAGTGAACACAATTTTAAAATAAATAAGGCCCAAATGTACATCAACAGGAAAATGAGTGAATTGCGGTAGAGTCATACAATGTAATACTACTTAGCAATGAAGATAAATAAGCTATTGTTACTCCTACCCCATGGATGAGTCTCATCATATATGACTGCATTGATATTAAGTCCAAAAACAGATAAAACTAATCTACGATAATAGAAGTTAGGCTAGTGTCACCTTTGGAGTGGGGCAATGCAACATGCAAGAGCTTCCGGAGTCTTGATGATATTCTTTTTCTTGATATGAGTTGGTTACCTGCGAAAGTTCACTTTGTGAGAATTCCTTACACCCAGTGCTCATAACATATATTTTTCTACATGCACATTACAATTCAATTAAATTAGCTAATCTTAGAGAAGACAAGTGCTGACTGTGATAACAGGGTTCAGGACAACGTGGCAGAGATTAGCTTGGGAAACACTGCTGTAGACTGACTGGTTGGGGAAGACCTTCCTGGAAGACGCTGGCAGAACCCTGAAACACCAACCATGGGGAAACCAGAAGAAGAGTGTCCCTGGCAGGAGGGACAGCCAGGGCAGAGGCTCTCAGGCTGGAAGGGCCTGGCACATCTGAGAAGTAGAAAAGAGGCCAGTGTGCTAGACAGCAGAGTAAGCAAAGAGTAGAGTGAACAAGACAAAGGCAAGAGTGAACAGAGGCCATGTCTGCAGGCCCTTGGAGCCATTTAGTTCATGGTCTGACCCTTATCATTTGACTCTTCTTTTGTGCCAGGCAACATGCTACAGTCTTGAGGTATATACCATTTTCTTTAAACATTTCTGGCAACCCTGGGAGGTAGGTTTTTACATGAATTTGTACATGAGGAGTTAAGGCTTAGGGAAAGTAACTTGCCCAAGGTCATCCAGCTTGGAAGAGAGTGGTTGTCATCAGGATCTTGGAAGAGAGTCTCTTAGACCTCAGACCTGTGTTCTCAAGTCCTATCTCATAACGCTGCCTCTGAGCACTAGTGTTTAAATAAATAGCTACTGCACAACATAATATGTGCATCCTTATGAACTGAATGGAGTTCTGAGGCAATTGCAAACTCCACCCAAGTGAGCCTGGAAGGGAGCATGTGGGCTAAATTTAAAAATACATACATATGAGATTTTCCCATAGGCAGAATTCTTAAGGGAGCAGCATGGGCAAAGACTCAAGGATGATAATTAATCATCACGGGAGCTAACATGTCTCGAGCATTCATCCTGTGCTAGGCTCTATAGTGAATATTTTACTTATTCCAGTTAATTCTCACCACAAGCCTGGGAGGCTGAGACTGGCCCCATTTTCCAGGTGAAAAAGCTGAAGAATGGAAAGGTAGTCATTTGCCTAGTGAGACACAAGTGAGTTGACTAAGTAAACACTAGCTTGTTTAATTTGTGGTGACAAAAGTAGTAAATGTGAACTAGCAGGTGGCAAAACCCAGAATTAAACATCGTTTTGCCACTGAAATCCATCCCCCCAACTCTCCTTCTAGGAGCTTGATGTGGCAGGGAAGCATGGGATGATTTGTGTGGCTTTCTGATGTGTGTTCGCTGAACTTGGCTGAAATTAATGTTTCTGAAGGTCCTTTCTCTTATGAGAATTTTATATTCTGTAATTTCTCTACTCTGAAACTCTTAAACTTTATCTTGTGCTTTTCTGTATGATCTCTCCTTCCCATCTAGACTGCAAGTTCCCTGAGGACAAGCCCTTATTTCTCCTGATTCCTTAGGACTTAGCCTTGGCGGGTGAGATCAAGGATTGAGTGTGTGTTTTGACCATTGAACCCTGAGGGCCTGATACAGCGCTGGGCAGAGGGTGGCTGCTCTGTAAATATTTCCTGAATAAATGAGCACTCTGCTTGTTTAATGAAAGGTTAGAGAGCTAATGGAGTTGGCCTGGATCAACAATCAATCTTGATCATTGGTGTGTGCATAATTTTATTTCATTTACTTAAGCATTTAAGACAAAAGCACAGTTTATTGGTCTCCATTCGCCTCCTACCCCATCACCCCCCCCCCCCCACACACACACACCAAATCACACAAAGCTGGTATTGACCCTGTCTTGGAAGAAATTCAGAGCAAGAAATTCTGTGAGATACCTTGATTGGTCCTGTACTATAAGAATTTGTAGCCTGGGCCAGTTAAGTGTAACCTGCTTAAAAGAAATTTATGTTATAGTGTCATTTTTATGAGCAAATCAACTACTACCTAATATTTCAGTTCAAACAGTTTCAAGTACATACAAAGTAACTATGGCTTTCTTTTCAGCACCACTTGTATCAATATCCCTGGGTCAGTGCAAAGCTTAAGTGACTTAGAAGTGAGTTCATTCCATACTTTCGGCCTGCGCCGGTCCAGTGCAGTAGCCTCTAAACACATGTGGCTATTGGACACTTGCAGCGTGGTGACTCTGAGTCGAGATATGTTGTAAGGGTAAAATATACTTCATTTCAAAGGCATAATAACATTTTTAAAAATGTAAACCATTCCATTAATGATTTATATAATGCTTACATGTTGAAATAATATTTTGACATTTTGTTAAATAAGGTATATTAAAATACATTTCACTTGTTTCTTTTTTTTTTTTGAGTTGGAGTCTCACTCTGTCGTCCAGATTGGAGTGCAGTGGCCGCTCCCGGCCACCACAGCCTCGACCTGCTGGGCTCCGGCGATCCTTCCGCCTCAGCCTTCTGAGTAGCTGGAACTACAGGCTCGCACTACCATGCCCGGCTTATTGTTTGATTTATTGTAGAGATGAGGTCTCGCCAAGTTGCCCAGGCGGGTCTATTTTTATTTTTCAAAATGTGGCTACCAGAAAACTTAAAATTATACATGTGGCTAACACTGAATGATGGTGCTTTACAATGTAACAGATGTGAATCTGATAAACACCAAACCCTTTATATCTGCCCCAACTCCACTATTTTCCCACTTATCTCGAAGTTATAAAAACTAGTTAAAGAACCCTAGCTACCATCTATGTTGCAAACAAAACTCTGTTTTTTGTTTCCTGATTGAGTCAATACTCAAGCTGGATTTGATTTTCCTACAAACTTTATTTTAACTTTATTTTATAATAATATTGACTCTAATGGTAAAAGCACTTTAAATTTATATAGACACTTGTAATTTTTTTTTAAAAAATTTATATTATTGAGTAGCTGTAACTATTCCAAGACAGTAGATAATTCGAATTATCACCATTTTCCAAATGAGAAAACTAAGAATGAGATAAAATGTATTTATTTAAGCCTAACCCTGGCCCAGAAAGGCTCTTCACTCTCACATCAACTCAGAATTTAAGTAGCTTTTCCAAGATGACAGAGTGACCAACCGAAGTGCTATTGGAGTGACGTCTTACTCTTTCTACCAGAACAACGGCTCTCAGATGGTTTCCCATGATCAATTATGAAGTGTAACTTTTTATAAAAAGTTCTTTTTTCAAAGTTAGAACTTTTAAACTTTTAAAATAGCAAAATTTTGGCTATTTTATATAAATTAGGACCAATCAAAGGATACATGAAAATAATATATCTTTTTTACACTTCATTCATTCAAACAGCACTTACTGAGTACCAGGCACATGTAAGGCAGTTAGTTAGGCCCTGGGAAAACCCTGATGAACAAGACAGAAGGAAAAGGCAGATCATGGAACAAATGTAATCATCACTAACAGGGAGTTAGATAAATGGTATGCTGTGAAATCACACAGCAAGAAGACCCACCCTCAGCTGGGGCTTGGGAAGGGCTTCAAAAGTTAGAGTTGCTCATATTGATACCGAAGGACAGTGGGACATGACCAGATAAGGGGTAGAGGAGAGAAAGTAGGTAAGAATCTTTTAGGAGTGTTTTCCAAAGAGGAAAAGAAAGGTAGGATTGATACGGCTGGGAGTTACACATAACCCACTGCCCAAATTCTCTATGCCACATTCGGCAGTGTATCCTGCACCTAAACATCATCTGTCATGTGTTCATGGATGTAACAACAACAGTAAAGTTTGAAAAGCTCTGCCTACTGCCATACTGCATTTCACAAGGTCTTTCAGATCCCTCAAGAAGCCTGTGCAGTGTTATGTGTGCTACTAAATGTTTAACAACAACAAAAAACACCTGTTTTGTAGCATTTGTCAATTTTCGTGATGCAACTATTTCCACCTTAACTGACATGAAACTGCCAATGAGGCACCACTGAGTGGGAAAGAGAGGTGTGGCAGGACCCATCCTGTATCATTTCCTCCATGCAAATACCATAAATGTAAGCTCTAAAGTACAGATGAAAGTAAAATGTGCCAAAATAGTTAGGAGACAATGAATTTTGAGTACTACAAATGTATTACCTTTTTTAAAAATAATTTATTTAACTATAATTTGTATGATTTTAAAACAATGGCTGTGTTTAACACTAGCTCACAAAAGTATCTGCAAATTTAACATTCACCTCTCACACACCTGTCCAAGCCAGTTCCAGCACACCAACGGGCCTAGCATCTTCAGTGTACAGTAACCATGATCCTTGTCTAGAACAGGTTCTCACATTCTCCTCTTTTTTCTGTTTCTTACAGATCAGCAAGCAGCAGCTACAGACAGTCAAGGACCGGTTTCAGGCTTTCCTGAATGGGGAAACCCAGATTGTGGCTGACGAAGCCTTCATGAATGCCGTCCAGAGTTACTATGAGGTAAGAATCGCCATACACGAGACCTCATCTCTACAATAAACAAAAAATTAGCAGGGCATGGTGGCACATGCCTGTAGTTCCAGCTACTTGGAAGGTTAGAGTGAAAGGATCACCTGAGCCCAGCAGGTCGAGGCTGACATAGCCGTAAGTGTGCCACTGCACTCCAGCCTGGGCGAGAAAGTGAGGCTCTGACTAAGAAATAAGTAAAATAAAGAATAAGACAAAGTCCAGAAGAAGATGGAAAGCACACACCTTGTTTTATAGGACTGGCAAAAGAAATGAGAACCATACCTCACTTAAAATAGATATAAGAATTATAAACAAAATATAGACAAATGGAAAAATAAAAAAAATTGAACAAAAGAATTGCCATGCAGAAGAAGATGTAAGCCTGCTCATGCCTGGGGTCCAGGGATTCTGAGCTATTGGTCAATGGGATCTACCATTTTGGATTTCTATAGGATCACCCCTTCTTAGACAAAGGGGCTAGTGATTGGTTACAATTTTAAGGAATAAGCACAGTTTGGGAGAAAAATGTAAATATAAGCTACTATTTACCAACTAATTTTTATACCAGGCAATATGCCGATTGTTAAACTATACAAAGTTTAACAGTCTTATGAGTTAGATCTGACTGAAATCCCATTTTACTGATGAAGAGACTGAGGCGCAAAAAGGATGTCAATTACTTAAGGTCACACAGCTATAAAAAGTCACAACCTCAGACCTTTATTGAGTCAGAAGCATTTGCCCACCAATTACACCATTTCTAAAGGACGTTCGCATCTCCCACGGATGGTGGCTTCACGAGCTTCCTTGTTCTTTCTATTAAAATGTTGCTTGAGGTTCTTTTTAAAAGTTAGAATGCTGTCCAATATGCAGCATTCTTCTGTAGACAAAACCTACAAAAGAGAGACCATGTCCTGAGTATAAATATCACAGGTGAGCTGTCACCACTAGATCTCAGAGGTTTATTTGTCAGTAAAGTGAATTTGCTACTCTGAGAATATTTTAAAATTTTATAGGTATTCTTCCTCAGTGTGCACAATGGCCATTGCTTGTTCATCACTAATGAAGTGGACATGCCACCCCTTCCTACTGGTAGTGCTCTCCTGATGTGCATATTTTCAAAAATATTTATTTTTTAACTTTATGTTAATCTACTTTAATGTGAACCAGATAAATATCCTATGCCCCAAATGTCTTATCCATTGCCAAGGCTAGATTAAAAACATTAGAAACCAACTCCTAAATGCTAAAACCTTATGGTATCTTGCCATATACAAATCAAAGTACTCATGATAACTTTTAAGTATAAGAAAAATCAAACACAGTCTAATTTTTTTTCTCATGGGATTGCTTCATTCATTTTCCTCCTTCCTTTCTTCCTGTGATCATTAAATTGAGAATTATTTTTAGGCCAGGGCTAGTGGCTCAACCTGTAATCCCAGCAATTTGGGAGGCCAAGGTGAGTGGATGGCCTGAGCCCACAGGTTTGAGACCAACCCATGCAACTTGGCAAGACCTCCTCTCTACAATTAAAAAAAAAATTAGCGGCCGGGCTCGGTGGCTCAGCCTGTAATCCCGCGCCTTTGGGAGGCTGAGGTGAGTGGATTGCCTGAGCCTGCGGGTTCGAGACCCGCCTGGGCAGCGAGACCTCATCTCTACAATAAATCAAAAAATCAGCCGGGTGTGGTAGCGCATGCCTGTAATTCCAGCTACTCGGAAGGCTGAGGCGGAAGGATCGCCGGAGCCCAGCAGGTCGAGGCTGCGGTGGCCGGGAGCGGCCACTGCACTCCAGTCTGGGCAACAAAGTGAGACTCCAACTCAAAAAAAAAAAAAAAAAAATTAGCAGGGTGTGGTAGCACGCCACTTGTAGTTCCAGCTATTTGGAAGACTGAGAAGGAAGGCTCGCTGAGCCCAGCAGGTTGACGTTGGGGTGGCCATGAGCATGCTGCTGCACTCCAGCCTGGGCGAGGGAGTGAGACTCTGACTCAAAAAGAAAAAGAAAAGAAAAAATTTTTTAAACAAAAACGTTGGTGCTCCTGCTTTGCTGGTGTTCTCACACATGCTTGGTCTGCCATTGAATGATCTAGTCTACAACACACACTTTTAGTATGTTACCTGATTGGAGCCTTGGTAGAGAAATCCTCATTTGGTAGATCTCTCCTTCCCACTTGCTAAAATACTTAACTTCCTCCTTCATGGGGAGACTGGAAGAAGACTGCAATTTGATCTTGTGAAAATATTATTGATTGGTTTGTTAATTAGCTCTTAATAGTAAATAGCCTTTGTCTCTGTGATATTTGTTGATCCAACTATGAACTCATTTTATATACCATTTCCTCGATGGAATTTCCATTTGGATCTATTTTAGAAATCAAGTTTTATATTTGTCCACATTTAAATCTTTTTTAATTTTACATCCATGATTACCAGTGAGCATCAAACATGCTGCTTTATCTGGTATGCTGCAATTTTTCGTTTCAATTTCATGGGAAGTAGAAATGAGATTTGGAATCACAGTGATGTATGGCCATGAATAATTTGAATGTATTTAACAAAGATTTTGTTAGAAACTGCCCAGGAATGAAATTAATTTTCCCCCCTCTGTTCAAGTTCTGAAAATTTTCTCCCCCTCTGTTCAGTGAGAGAGTAACGGAAGAATCCTTGTCAGACCAGGCCAGCCCTTATCAATAGTTCTCCATGTTTAGAGTTATTCGCCAGAGTTTACAACTTTGTAGACTGCAAATCTTAATTAGAAAGCTCATTTGACTAATAGCATAATTAAAAGAAAATGCCATTTCTATCTATTAATTAAATTTGAAAATTAATAGTCATCAACATGCTAATGGGTCTCTGAAAATTACCATTATATCTATAGTGATCCCAATATTTCCTCTAGTGACTAGTTTATTTGAAACTGCTTCTCTTTTGTCTGGTGAGAATACAGGCATTGAGAAATTACTGAATATTTAATGTTAGCATTTGAGTAACATAGGAAAGAATGTGAGGCATTAATGATCTAACTGCTGTCTTTATTAGTAAGACTTTAAAGAGTCTTAGATTCACTTTTTCAGGGACATCTAATCCTCTAAAGCAAAAAAGTCTTCAATCAAAGGATCAGGATTAACACTTAGCTTGGGAGAGTTCCAAGTTGATAACGCCTTCTTTTCTTCCTTTCTCTTCATTGTTGAACTATAGAGAAGCTAGTATCTCCTCCTCCACCCTTTTCCAGGATCCATGTCAGCATCTGTCTTGGGTCAGGACTCTGGATTACCAGAGACAGGCACCTAGTTCAAATTAATTTAAGCCTAAAAAGAGATTTATTTGTGCAAGTTATTAATACTTAAAAGTCCAGGATAGGCTTAGCATCAGCTGTGGCTGGATCCAGAGACTCCAAGATGCCAGCGGGCTGGGTATCGCCCCCCCCAAACCTCCACTGCGCTCTTCCCAGTGTAGGCACCATTGTTGGGCAGATTCTCTCCATGTGGAAGATCCTAACAGCACAAGGGCACACCTTATTGGGTTAGCAACCCCAGGAGCAAAGAGAACACCCCTGTTGAGAGTTCCAGCAAAGACCCACGGGTGATTGTTGAACTGATGTGGGTCATGTGTCCCTTCTTGAGTCAGTCACAGTGGATGCGGAGGAAATAGGAAAATAGACTGGGGAGTAACATGTAGGACAGATACCATCTCTGGAGCCTGAGTACAGGCTCAGCCACTGGAACCATTTGCAGAGAAAGAGCAATGGTTTCCCAATAAGAAATTAGGGTGTGTTACCAGAATAGTGGGAACATATGCTTGGCAGGTACAACGAATCAGCAGATATCCTCCTTCCATAATTCTCTCTCTCTCTTTCTCTTTCATACACACTAGCACACACATATACATTCCACTCCACCTTAGCACATTTCACATTCCAGTTTACCAACTGCAATGACATTAAAAAATAAGTAATGTAATCTTTCCTAAAATATTTTGAGAGTACTATACTAGAAAAAGTCAGTTTGGGGCATTGACCTTATTTTGTTAAGGTAGTGCAGCTATCCCTCAGTATCCATGGGGCATTGGTTCCCCTCACATACCAAAATTAATGGATGCTCAAGTCCCTTACATAAAATGGTGTAGTATTTGCATATGACATATCTGTATCTTCTGTATACTTTAAATCATCTCTAGATTACTTATAAATATTTTATATAACCTAAATGCTATGTCCATAGTTGTATTGTATTTATATTTTTTGTTGTTGTTGTTGCATTATTTTTTAATAGTTTTGATCTGTGGTTGGTTGAATGTGTGGATGTAGAACCCACAGATACAGAGGGCTGACTATAATAATTTGTCAGCATGCTAAAGTAGTAAAGAGCAATTTTTCCTAAATAGAAGGAGTGAGGAGGCACTCTCCTATTTCCATCTGTGCCTATCCGGCCCAGTCTGAGCCAAGCCAGTCACTGTGAACTGCAAGCTGCCCCTGGGCACTGAAGAGGGATGGAATAAAGGAGACCAAGGGTCCCCAAGATTCTCAAAAATGTACACTTTTTTTGTCCTTTCCTGGTGGCCTTGATTGTAAGAGTGAATCAAGCAGGGCAGCAGGTTACTCCTTAATCTCTTCTGTTTTGGCTTCAAAGACTGGGAACTGGGGTGAATGCTCTGAGATCGGCCCAGCAACTCCATCCTGCTCTCACACTCATAGTCTTGAGACATAGTAACAGAGAGCCCACCCATTTTTCCATATTCCCCACACCTTTTCTAACTCTCAGCTCTCTGAAGACAAACTTCTAAAATATAAGCCCACCTGCCCTCTATCCTTATACTCACCTCCTCACCTTGCTGCTTGATTTGCTTGTCCCAGCATCAGAGAAAAGAGGTGGATGGAAAAGGTTTACAACACTCAGATCCTGCCTGGAAGGAAACATGGAGATTTGGAGGGAAGTGGGAGTGTAGAGTATTGTGGAAGACAGATTTTTTTAAAAATCCATATTAACATCAATAAG